GGGCAGACCTCTGACGACGGTGTGGGTGCAGGGGGGTGGCCGGAGGCCGAAGGTCGCCCCCTTCCACCCGCCCGTGTGTGTGTGTGTGTGTGTGTGTGTGTGTGTGTGTGTGTGTGTGTGTGTAAAACATCAAGTAATAGACTCATAACACAGCCCAACAAAATTTTGTTGACTTACAAGTAGAAGTCGATTCCGATAGGATTTTTTCCGCAGAATCCAAATATGCCTATAAAAATATTGAATTGGCTCTAGTTTTTAAACAATTGAAGATCAAAGGGGTCGAATCACACGATTTTGCTAAATTTTAAGCGTCTATCAAAAAGGAACGAGCAACAATAAAATTGTCTTCCCGTGACGAAAAGAAAGCTCGAGTATTGTTCTTTCAAGATACGGAACATGAAATTGAATGCAGTGAATTTTACACATGTGTTTTCGTGTGTATGTGTGCGTGTTCCTGCTATCGGCACTACGGAAGGCACGGACGTAGTAGACTTGTAATCCGTTCGGGGCACTGCATTAACGTGAATATTCTCCTCGCCTCTCACGTGTGTGTGTGTGTGTTTGTGTGTGTGCGCGCGCGTGCGTTCGTGCGCGTGCGTTTGTTGACACACACACACGCACGCACGCACGCACGCACACACACGCACACACACACACACACACACACTGACACGTACCCATGTGAGAGGCGAGGGGAGGACTCTCATTAGTCCAGCATCCCGAAAGGATCAGAAGTCATACTGCGTCCGTCTCGTTGGTAATGCCGTGACAGGTACACGCACACATTCACATGAAAACACGTGTTTAAAATTCACTGCATCTAATTTCGTGCTCCATATCTTGAAAGAACAATACTCGAGCTTTCTTTTCGTCACGGGAAGACAATTTTATTGTTGCTCGTTCCTTTTTGATAGACGCTCAAAATTTGGCAAAATCGTGTGATTCGACCCTTTTGATCTTCAGTTGTTTAAAAACTAGAGCCAATTCAATATTTTTATAGGCATATTTGGATTCTGCGGAAAAAATCCTATCGGAATCGACTTATACTTGTAAGTCAACGTGAAATTAGGGAAATTTTGTTGGGCTGTGTAATCGTTATATAACGAGTGGAATACACACACACACACACACACACACACACACACACACACACGGGCGGGTGCAAGGGGGTGGCCGGAGGCCGAAGCCCCCGCACCCACACCGTCGTCAGAGGTCTGCTCCGACAGTACTATCATAGCAACAGTACATTCGTAGAAGTCGTGTGCCCCTATGCAGGGGGTGGGGAAGAAGAGAGTGAGTTGTGATTCGCGTGAAAATTTTTTTAAGCTCATAACATTCCTAATGTACTATTTCACATGATTACATTGTTCATTTGTTTTGATGAGTTTCGCGCTTGTATTTACAAATTTTGACCGCACAGTTTTACTTAATTCTTCAAGTAGTAAGCATTTAGTTACTACTTCGAATTCTACGAAGTATATTGCTCTTCGCAATATATTTGTACAAGTGCTACTGTATATTGATTGCATTATGCATCTTCACGACTTTTTGCACTTAACATATAATTCGGACAGTTTGATTGAATATTTAATAAATAAAAAAGTAATTCGTGGAAGTATTCAATGTCCAAAATGTGAACGAATTTTATGATATCCAAATGATGTACGTAAAAATTTAATATTACACTGTAGTCACTGGTATTACAAAATTGTACGTGGAAGAAAACGGCAACGAAAAATGTGTAACTTCAAAATAAGTATATTACATAATACATGGTTTTCTAAAGCTCATTTGGATATAGTATCAATATGTCGATTTGTTGCTTATTTTGTAATAATTCCATTACCTCGACACTCATTCATGTGTAGTGCATTGAATCTTGGACACGAAATCGTCGTTGATTGGACAAATTTTTGTAGAGAGGTAAATTAATATTTATATAAGACGTTCATATTTGTATTATGTAAATGTATTTTTGTGCTATTTTCTTTTTAATAGTTGCTATGTGATTGGTTCAAGAAAAAGGAACAACAAATTGGGGGACCAAACAGAATTGTGGAAATAGATGAGGTGAAAATTGGGAAAAGAAAATTTAATAAAGGTCGCATTGTGAAAGGACAGTGGGTATTTGATGGTATTGAACGCGATACTAAAAATATTTTTATTGTACCTGTGGAAAATCGACGTTCTGAAACGTTAATACCACTAATTCGAAAGTACATCGCTGCAGGATCAATTATTCATAGTGATTGTTGGCGTGGATATGATGGCCTACGGAATGAAAACTATAATCACCGAGTGGTTAATCATTCCAAAAATTTTGTGGATCCAAATACAGGAACTCATACACAGAACATTGAGAGATTTCCCCTGGGATTTACGTGCTAATATTCCACGTTTTGGTACAAGAGAGTACAATTATGAACATTACATAGCTGAATTTTTGTTCAAAAGACTGTATACTTTTGACAAACGTATTGAACGATTTTTTGAAATAATGAGTAATTTGTATCCGTTAGAATCGTAACATAATTCTCCATAGATATTCAACGTTTATTTAACATTATTGTCATTTAGTAATGTTTTTTTTTATTATATACAGCAGTATAATGGTACGTTATTTTTTGAAACTTCTTTTGTTAATATCTTTTTAACGAAGGACGAGCGACAGCTAGTTGTTAAGGCAAAGTTACTCAGGGTCATGACCTTGACAACATATGTCAAGGTCAAGAAGATCGGAGCTGTTTCCCCTATTCCGAAGATTTACCATTAAAACAGGAAAAGATAAACTTAATAAGTTCGATAACACTAATGTCGTCTATAAGATTGATTGTAAGGATTGTGATATGACTTATGTCGGACAGACAAAAAGAAGGCTCAGAACTCGATTGAAAGAACATATCGATGATTTGAAGAAATCTAATAATAATTCTGTTGTAAGCAAACATCAATTAAATTGTAAACACGACATAGATTGGGATAACACTGCAATTTTGGATAGTGAACCTGTATATTTTAAGAGAACAATTTCTGAAATGATTCATATTAAGAATCAGATTAACTGTCTAAATTTGCAGAGTGACACTGAAAAATTACCACAATTGTATTTTTCTATCATAACAAACACACACCAAGACTCTAACACAAATTCTCAGTCTTAGTTTTTATTTTTATTATTTTTGTTAGTTTCAAGTTCATATACACATATAATTATGTCACTACATATCTGACTTTACTGTTGTAATGTTCGAATTTTTCTGACGCTCCACTTAAGATTTAACGATTGCTTTAAACGGAACATAGGTAATTTTAAATTATATTCTTTTATAACGAAAGCTTTCAATTCTTAATATTGTTATCTTAATTTAACTTTTAATTACACAGTCTGCTAACGATGTTTCGTCAAAAGAATTTGTACTAATATGAAAGAATTTGTACATGAAGACATGAGAGAAGGTTACCGTTGGATAATGTTGCTAAGAAGAAATTTATATTGTAGCGAGGCGAGTTAATGTAAGCGAATTATTATTAATGTGGCGTTTGATTTTATGTTATAGTAGTTTAATAGTATACTGAAGATGGTCACTTTGTGTTGATCGAAACGTTTATAGATTTATGTTTTTTGACAATAAATTAATGACTTTAATAAGTTATCACAAACGAGAATTTGTGCGTGGTTTTTTATGCTCATTTAATTGAAAATTTTTTATTTTGTGATTAGGTAATCGTTTTAATTTTGATAGGTTCAATTTTTGTAGTTTTCATTTACTTTTCGTGGTACATAACATAGAAAATAACATAATGTATGTGCACTTTGAACTGGCACATTTAGTAATATATCAGTTACTTTTCGTGGTCATATATTATATTAGATAATATCATTTAAAGTATTAAAGTTTAAATTATTATGTTACATTATTAGATAATCATTTTAATTTAGAAAGGTTCAAATTTTTGGGGATAATTTTCAAAGGTTGAAATTTATTGGGTTTTCTATTTGTTTAGAGTTAAAGGTCGTGCGCACGGCAGTGAGCACATGTTGTTGGTCGGTAACTCGACGACCGTTATGATCGATTAACCAAGTGATGCTCGGGAAGACCGAGCGAGGCGCTGAACACCTTGTTTCTTTGTCCACTCTTCTTCTTCGTGTGGTCGTTGCAGTCTTCAGCCATCTTGTGAAGACGCCGGCCGGCACTTCGTGTTCTTGTGATTTCTGTAGTGAGAAAAACGTTCTCGGGGGAACGTCGATTGATTGATAATCCGCGCGAGGAGCTTTAGCTCAACTGAGGCTAGTAGCCTGTGTACTGATAAAGTGAGGCAGTAGCCTAATCGCTATAATAGCGACCGAAATGTAGAGAAGATTCTCGAAGATCGAGAAGCGTACGTTCTACGAGGTAGACGTACAACGATCCCACAATGGTGGGAGTGAGCATTTGATCCTCCAGGTACCTGTGAGAATGACAAAGAAAGATGAACTCGAGTAAGTTCATGTAAGAAATCAAGGCTCAAACCGAGGTTACGATCCGTGGCAATTTCTGCGGATATTTTGGCGGCTGGAAGCCTTGTAAATTTGCTGATTATTTGTAAGTACTTTACTTTTCAGTTTTTATTCCACAGATTGTTATAGTTTCCTTCACTCCCGTCGTCGTGCTGTCTATCAAGGAGGATATTCAAGTCTTACTTACTAGCTTCCTGTGCCCATCTCTACGACATATATATAGATATTCCTTCCACGTAAAATAAACAGTTGAAAATCAGTTATTCGATAATCATATTCTTATTTTTTTTATAATTACATCCTTGTCATAAATAACGTTACATGGTAATAGTTTCTTTGTTTCTATCTAATCTTAATAATTCGTACTTGAATATAACTCTTTTGAAATTATTAGTTTTTATATTTGTTAAAAATTGGCATGAATTATCTATCGAACATTTTGGTCCTTCGAGCCGGATCCTTCTGATAGACTGCGCCACCGGCGGGGTGAGAGTGAGACACGATGAGAGTAAGTCACGTTGAAGGTCATATCGAACAGCAGCTCGCTCTTTCTTCTTTAATTGGTCATGCTTATGAAAGCTTGATAAAGTGCGGCGTAGAGAATGTCAACTCTCAGAGGGTTAACTTACGCCTTTCGGCTCTCAAGGAGAACTGGGATAAATTCCGCATAAATCATGAAGCGATTACGCTTTCGATTAAGCAATTGGAGGAGGAGGATGAGTTTGTTGTTCGGAATAGTGTGTATTTTTCAGATAATCTTTTTTCCAGCACTAATGAGAATTATTTAGAATCGGTCGAGCGTATGAGCTCTTTAATTGAATCACTTTCTGAACAGAGTAGCATGCCAGGGATGACTTCCGATACGACGTCCTCTCAAGTTTTAGCAACGTCGATGACGTCATCGAGTCTCCCTGCCGTGTTTCATCATTCTAGACTCCCTCGTTTACAATTACCGAAATTTAGCGGCACACCCTCAGAATGGTTGCCATTTAAAGATCTTTTTTGTTCCTTAATTATTGACAATCCCACTCTTTCGGCTGTAGAGAAATTGCAATATTTAAAGACAAGTCTTACCGGTTCTGCTGGCTACATGTTAACGAACACAGCCCTGACTGCAGACAATTTCTCGAAAGCATGGGACTCTCTAGTTTCCTTTTATGAAAATAAAAGACTTCTTGTCAACGCTGCTCTCAGTTCCCTTTTCACCCTTAAACGCATGACTAATCTGCTGCCGAACTTGAGAGATTATACACGACTGTAACTCAGATTTACAGAACTTTTGAAACTCTTGGACGACCTGTCAATTCGTGGGATGATGTCTTGATTTTCACAGTCACCCAACGACTCGATCCTGAATCTGTCAAGGTCTGGGAACAAACTATCGGTTCATCGAAAGAGCTTCCTACTTGGAATCAATTTTTGGAATTTCTGATTACACGACTAGTTACCTTACAAAATTATGAAAAGTCCAGAACAGGTAAGCCCTTTCAATCCATTCAGAATTCTCAAAGGCTTCATTTCCAGGGAAAGGTCCAAGATAGCGACTCTAAGGTGTGCCCTTTTTGTGAGGAAGCTCATTGGCCATATAACTGTCCGCTCTATAAGAACAAGCCATTATCTCAGCGGTTCGCACTCGTCAAAAGACATCGTCTTTGTTACAATTGTTTCGGACCACATCGAGCCGTGCAATGCCGGATGTCGGTCCATTGTAAAAAATGTGCTGGGAAGCATCACGTTTCCCTCCACCGTGGAAATTTTGAAGGTTCGAAAGCTACGGCTAAATCTTCCACTCCATCTGAAACGAACAAACCAGAGAATCTTCATGCAGAGGGTTCTACCGCATGTCAGGAGAAAAAGAAACCTTTTCAGGTATTTCATTCTCTCGAGTTAAATAAGCTTAATCAACACACTGTTTTATTAGCCACTGCGCTCGTTTCTATTCGGTCTTCTACCGGACACTGCTGTCAAGCTCGTGCTCTTATCGATCAAGGATCAGAGATATCCTTAATTACGGAACGTTTAGCACAACGATTACACTTACCTCAAATCAGATCAAATATTTCCTTAATCGGTGTTGGTGGGAAGAAATGTAATACTTCAAGGGGAATAGTACATTTTCAATTAAAGCCACATTTCGAATCGTCATTCGAATGCACCGTACCCGCTCATGTTTTACCACGATTAACTACTTCATTACCTTCCGCTTCTTCTAAGCAGGAATCATTGTTACATTTGAAAGATCTAATGGTGGCGGATCCTGAATGGTTTCAATCTCGTCAAATTGATCTCCTACTCGGGGCAGAAGTTTACTGTCAGATTCTCCAAGAAGGCATCATTAAGGGTCCTATCGGGTCTCCTAAGGCACAATTGACCGAGTTAGGGTGGATCATTTCGGGTCCTACGTACCCCAGAGTGTCCACTAATACTTCTTCCAGCTTTCATATATCCATTGACGATAATCTCTATCGTCTAATACATAAGTTCTGGGAGATAGACGAAGTCCCTTCAACTAACACCATTCTTTTTGCTGACGATCAAGCATGTGAAGATCATTTTGTTTTGACTCACTCTCGTCATAAGGATGGGAGATATGTAGTTCGATTACCCTTCAAAAGGTCAATGACTCACCTCGGCAATTCACGGCAAAGGGCCGTTCAAATTATGTTAAGACTTTCTCGTAAACTTTCTTTAGATTCTAGTTATTCAAAACTTTATACGGAGTTTCTAACCGAGTACGAGGAGCTGAATCACATGAGGTTAATTCCTCCACATTTACCGGAACCTCAGCATGTTTATTATCTACCGCATCACGGTGTGAAAAGAGAGCAAAGCCTCACCACTAAATTGCGTGTTGTATTTAATGGATCCAGCCCTTCGTCCTCGGGGTTTTCATTAAACGATTTATTGCATACTGGAGCGAAGCTTCAAATAGATTTATTCGACGTTCTTCTTTGGTTCCGTCAATTTCGCTATGTATTCTCCTCTGATATGGAAAAAATGTACCGTCAAATAGAGGTTCATCCCCACGATTGGGACTTTCAGAGAATTCTTTGGTGTGATCAATCACTCAATTTAAGAGCCTATCAACTCACTACTGTTACCTATGGCCTAGCATGCGCCCCCTTTCTCGCGTTACGTACCATCCAGCAATTGTTACTCGATGAAGGTTCCAAGTATCCTTTGGCGGCTTCGAGTCTGCAAAAAGGACGTTATGTGGACGATCTGTTTGGCGGAGCAGATAGTATAGAGCAAGCACAAGAAGTCGTCTCTCAATTAACACAATTGTGCATGGCGGGCGGATTTAAACTTAAGAAATGGTCTTCTAACCAATCCGAAATACTTGCCTCAATCCCCAAGGAAGAACAGATCTCATGTTTAACCGTAGGTTTCGACAATGAAGCAATTATTCAGACTCTTGGGTTGCAATGGCTACCATCTAGCGATCTGTTTCAATTCACTTTTAATTATGACATTAACCCTTAATGGTCTAACGTGGGTCGTTCAAGTCCCCTAAAAGGTACACTCTTCACCTTTAATTTCCACTTTGATTTATGTCGATAGCTTCATTTGGATTGAAGTTATGATTTTTTAAGTGATCGAGTGATTTTACACGCGGTACCACCATTTTTAATACAAAATTATATACAAAAATAATTATTTTCGACATACAAATTTTTTTTTCTTGAAATTGAAGAATTAATGAAGGTCCATGAATTTTTGCAGATTTTTTAAAGCCCTTTAACATGTCTAAAAAACGCCGAGACACGAATGGCCCACGTTAGACCATTAAAGGTGCCGAAAAAACGTTAGACTAGTAAGGGTTAACTTTGACGTCACCAAACGCAAGGTTCTATCGGTTATTGCGAAACTTTTCGATCCATTAGGCTTTCTGTCACCCATTATTGTCACAGCAAAAATCTTTATACAAGAACTTTGGTCGATAAAAATCGGCTGGGATGACCCCTTGCCATCCCATCTTGTAGATCAATGGCATAAGTTTTTAGATGCTCTTCGTGAGATATCTAACATTACCGTCCCTAGGTGGATCGGAATTTCCAGTCAGAGCGTAGTCGAAGTTCATGGGTTCTCAGACGCTTCCCAAAAACCATGGCTGCCGTTGTTTATCTTCGAGTCATTGATTCGACAGGAGTTACCTCTGTCCATTTTGTTGCTTCCAAGACCAAGGTTGCCCCGTTAAAGCGTATGACAATTCCAAAGCTTGAATTGTCTGGGGCTGTCTTACTCACTAAGTTAGTTTCCCACACTTTGTCTGTTATTCAGTTAGCAAACGTACCTGTTATTCTTTGGACTGATTCCGCAATTACTCATGTTTGGCTCAATAATCATCCATCGAAGTGGAAAGAATTCGTTCAGAATAGGGTCAGTTTCATTCAAGAAACTTTGCCTCAAGCTGAATGGAAATTTGTACCCGGCCATCATAATCCTTCAGATATCGCCACACGAGGTGCTACGCCCTCTCAGCTTTCCAACCACACAGAATGGTGGCACGGGCCTCAATGGTTATCTCAAGATAGATCGTCTTGGCCACAACCGGTTACACCACAATGCCCTGCGGACAACTTTGAAGAACAGCCTTCAATTGTCCACGTAGTTACCGCTAATCCAAAGACAGAATGGAATCTTATCTCTCGATACTCTAGTTTAAATAAGCTTTACCGTATTACTGTCCTATGTCAGAGAGCTGTGAGTAGATTCCGCCGTGTTCCTTTGACCTCTCTCTCTACGTCTTTAACGACCGTTGAACTGAATAAAGCAAAATTGTTTTGGGTGCATGTCACGCAACAATTATTCTTTCCTGAAGAAATTAACTATCTGACTAAGGGATTACCGATCTCTCGATCAAGCCCCCTCATTCGCCTGACACCATTTCTAGACGCATCAGGTTTACTCCGAGTAGGAGGTCGTTTACAAAACTCTCTCCTAAGCGAGGATGAAAAACACCCTTTGATTTTACCTCGTAAATCAACTTTGACAATGCTTATTATAGCTGACGCGCATCAGCGAGCATTACACGGAGGTACTCAAGTTACCTTAGCTACTATCCGTACTGAGTACTGGATAGTTGGTGGGCGAATCCCAGTTCGATCGTGGATCTTAAAATGTCTTAAATGCACCCGCTTCCGTAGGCAGCGGGCTCAGCAATTGATGGGACAACTTCCCTCCAAGCGTATTACCCCTTCTCGCCCTTTTACTCACGCCGGTATTGACTATGCAGGCCCTTTTGGTATAAAGACTTGGAAAGGAAAAAACGCCCGCACTTATAAGTCCTATGTTGTTCTATTTGTGTGTTTTGCTACCTCCGCCGTTCATTTGGAATTAGTCACTGACTATTCTTCTAACGCCTTTATAGCCGCATATAAACGATTTGTCGCAAGGCGTGGAATTTGTACTACTTTAACCAGTGATTGTGGCACCACTCTCAAAGGAGCAGATTCAGAATTACAACGGCTTTTTTCGCAAGCTCAAAAAATCATCCAAATTGGCTAATCTGTTAGCCAACAATGGTACTCAATGGCATTTCAATCCCCCTTCCGCACCTCATTTTGGAGGCAAGTGGGAAGCAGGGGTTAAATCCATGAAACATCATCTCATACGGGTAGTCGGTACTGCCACGTTTACTTACGAAGAGATGAGCACTCTCTTAGCTCAAATCGAAGCTGTGATGAACTCACGGCCACTGTGTCCATTGAGTGAGGACCCTGACGATCTTAGCGTTCTAACCCCAGGCCATTTCCTCATGGGGTGTGCCCCATTAACTGTCCCAGAACCGTCTCTCGAGTTAGTTAAGACCTCTAGGCTGTCACGATGGCAGCTTATTCAAAAGACTTTTGAATCATTCTGGACCAGGTGGTCTCAAGAGTGCCTACAGAGGTATTATTCTTGCTATAAATGGAATCGAGTCATGCCATCACTCCAAGTTGGAACCATAGTTCTAGTCATTGATGAACGCTATCCACCGGCTAAGTGGCCCTTGGGGCGAATCCTTGCTACCCATCCTGGGCAGGATGGCCATACCAGAGTAGTTACTGTTAAAACTCAAACGTCAGTCTTGAAACGGCCAGTAGTCAAACTCTGCCCATTGCCTGTTATGCACGACTCCTCGCAAGTTGTTCATTAATTGCATATAATGAAGGCGGGCGGAATGTTTAGAGTTAAAGGTCGTGCGCACGGCAGTGAGCACATGTTGTTGGTCGGTAACTCGACGACCGTTATGATCGATTAACCAAGTGATGCTCGGGAAGACCGAGCGAAGCGCTGAACGCCTTGTTTCTTTGTCCACGCTTCTTCTTCGTGTCGTCGTTGCAGTCTTCAGCCATCTTGTGAAGACGCCGGCCGGCACTTCGTGTTCTTGTGATTTCTGTAGTGAGAAAAACGTTCTCGGGGGAACGTCGATTGATTGATAATCCCCGCGAGGAGCTTTAGCTCAAGTGAGGCTAGTAGCCTGTGTACTGATAAAGTGAGGCAGTAGCCTAATCGCTATAATAGCGACCGAAATGTAGAGAAGATTCTCGAAGATCGAGAAGCGTACGTTCTACGAGGTAGACGTACAACGATCCCACAATGGTGGGAGTGAGCATTTGATCCTCCAGGTACCTGTGAGAATGACAAAAAAAGATGAACTCGAGTAAGTTCATGTAAGAAATCAAGGCTCAAACCGAGGTTACGATCCGTGGCAATTTCTGCGGATATTTTGGCGGCTGGAAGCCTTGTAAATTTGCTGATTATTTGTAAGTACTTTACTTTTCAGTTTTTATTCCACAGATTGTTATAGTTTCCTTCACT